CTGAATTTAGATAAGGGTTAAGAGTCGAAAACGGTACAACGAATCGTCTTCTTTCTCTAATAAGTTAAGGAAACGTCAAAACTTCCTCGCTTTGCGCGGGAGAAGGGAAACTGAATTCAGACCAATTAGGAGTCACGAACGGTACAACGAATCGTCTGCTTTCTCTAATAATTTAAGGAAACGTCGAAACTTCCGCGCTTCGCGCGGGACGGGGAGAACTGAATTCAGATAAGGATTAAGAGTCGGAAAAAATGCTTTCTCTCATAATTAAAGGTAACGTCAAAGCTTCCGCGCTTCGCGCGGGAGAAGGGAAACTGAATTCAGACCAATTAGGAGTCGCGAACGGTACAACGACTCGTCTGCTTTCTCTAATAATTTAAGAAAACGTCAAAACTTCCGCGCTTCGCGCTAAAGGGGGAGACTGAATTCAGACAATTAGGGCTTATTAAGAGTCGAGAACAGTACAACGACTCGTTTGCTTTCTTTCATAATTTAAGGAAACGTCAAAGCTTCCGCGTTTCGCACGGGAGGGGGAGAACTGAATTCATATAAGGGTTAAGAGTCGAGAGCAGTACAACGAATCGTCTTCTTTCTATAATAATTTAATGAAACGCCAAAACTTCCGCGCTTCGCGCGGGAGGGGGAGAACTGAATTCAGATAAGGATTAAGAATCGAGAACAGTACACCGAATCGTCTGCTTAATGAAACGTCAAAGCTTCCGTGCTTTGCGCGGGAGGAAAACTGAATTCAGACAAGGATTTACAGTCGAGAACGGTACAGCAAATCGTCTTCTTTTTCTAATAATGTAATGAAACTTCGCGCGGGAGGGGGGGGGGGAAACTTCATTCAGGCAAGGATTAACAGTCGAGAATGGTACAATAAATCGTCTTCTTTTCCTAATAATTTAAGGAAACGTCTAAGCTTCCGCGCTTCCCGCGATAGGCCTATCACCCAAATCCCCCTAATGAGCGCGCTTCGCGCGCTCTTTAAGTGATTCGCTTGCTCACTACCGCTCCTCCATAAAATAAGATCTTAGCTCCGCGCCTGCATTAAAATATATAGCTATGATGCTGACTAAGTTGACGAAATAATTCATATATTTATATCATCGAGGAAAATGACCATTTGCGCAATCGCAAGTACTATAGAAAGTCCATAGGGAAACAATTCAGCCTTCGGGCCCGGGTTTATAGGGTTAAATTTGCAAATATTGGGACATTTAATTGTGTCGGTAATTGGTGGCTAGTTTTGTCGGTAATCGTTGGCCTCTACACCCCTCCACTGAAAAAGGTCTAGCGACGCCCCTGCTGACACATCAGTCACCGAAAATCATTTCTGAATGTCGGAATTGGTTCTTTATAGTAAACTTTACTTGGAAGCTGGTCATCGGTAAAGTATTATCGGCATTATCGTGATCCAAATCCCCAGGGACTCGACCTTTATGTCTAGACGTTGCATAATGCAATTCGTATTGGTATTTTATTCCATCTCAGAGTGATTACAAACGTTATTTTTTAAGGATAATAAAGATAAAGCTGTCCGGGTTTTTAAAGATAATGCTTCAAAAAAAAATCAAACAAGCTGTTTATTTCTTTATTCATGGTCTGTTTTTATTGTTTATCTGCCAATCCTCGAAAACGAATTTATTATGCATTTCACAGAGGAAGTTTGCATAGGATAACTATATATATATATATATAGATATATATATATATAAATGATTTATTAGGCTTGTTTTGCTTTCTAATGGATCCGTACAATATGGCACAGCTTTATGGGCCTGGAAGAGCCCCTACCGGGGGTTCCGGGGCGGAGCCCCAGGATGCTCTCGAGTTTATTTGACTTTCAAGAGAAAGTGTCTCTAAGATATAAAGAGAGGTTATTTCTTAAATGAAGTGAAAGGACTCTTGAAAATAAAATAGCCCTTTCATTTCATTTTATAAATAAACTCTAATCCATCCCTTGATATTTAAATTGCACTGCTCTTACTGTGTGCTTTGTTCACACTCTCCCTGATCTAAGGTGCTTTCTCTATTATTTTGATCATCAACAGACTGAAGCAAAAATGCTAGGCCACGAACTTTTCGAAGCGTGACCAGATTCAAAGCATGCTTAAATGGGGGCATTGATGTATGTACAAAAAACAAGATTGAGATCCCATGCAACGCTTCGAAATGTAAAGAAGAATGAGAAAAATAAAGTTGAGATTCGACCTTTATGTCTAGACGTTGCTTAATGCATTTCGTATTGGTATTATCTCCCATCTGAGAGTGATTATAGACGTTATTTATATGAATAATAAAGATAAAGCTGTCCGGGTCTTTGAATATAATGCTTCAAAACAAATCGACCAAGCTGTTTATTTCTTTATTCATGGTCTGTTTCTACTGTTTATCTATTTTCATTGCCAACCCTCGAAAACGAATTTATTATGCATTTCACAGAGGAAGTTTGCATAGGAGAACTATATATATATATATATATATATATATATGTATATATATGTATGTATACAGGGGCGTAAATCCGTACCGAGGAGTGGGGGATGATCGGCGATAGCCATCACATACTAGCACGAGCACACGCCCACACTAATTTACGCAAGCGCGCGCGATCGCGCACGCACAAACACACCACACACACACACGCACGCACACACACACGCACACACGCACACACACACGCAAACGAACAAACAACAAACACACACATACCCAAACACATGTACATAAATGTATACATGCATACATACATGCACGCACATGCCAAATTTGACAACCATAAAGTAAAAGAATTGGACATACTGACATATAGCGAACCTCACGTCGTATTATGAATAGCGACCCTCTTCTCCTATTATGAATAGCGACCCCCTACTCCTATTATGAATAGCGAACCTCTTCTCCTATTATGAATAGCGACCCTCGCGTCATATTATGAATAGCGACCCTCTTCTCCTATTATGAATAGCGACCTTCTTCTCCTTTTATGAATAGCGACCCCCTACTCCTATTATGAATAGCGACCCTCTACTCGTATTATGAATAGCGACCCCCTTCTCCTATTATGAATAGCGAACCTCATTTCGTATTATGAATAGCGACCCTCTACTCCTATTATGAATAGCGACCCTCTTCTCCTATTATGAATAGCAACCCTCATTTCGTATTATGAATAGCGACCCTCTTTCTGTGTTATGAATACCGACCCTTTTGTAATATTATGAATAGGGACCCTTATGAATAACGAACTCGATTTCGTATTATGAATAGCGACCCTCTTCTAATATTATGAATACCGACCCTCTTCTTTGATTATGAATAGCGGTCCTTATGAATAATTACCCTTTTCTCCAATTGTGAAAAGCGGACCTTATGAATAGCGGTCCTTATGAATAGTTGACCTTATGAATAGCGGACCTTATGAATAGCGACATTGAACCCACTTTTGTTACCCAAATAAGCTGCATCAAATCCAAGATATTATTCACGATTAAAAAAAACATGCTTTATCTTTAGGACATCTATAAATGAACTCTGTTTACTTTATAAATACGTAAACATAATATGTGCCTTTTACTGTAATTCTGTTTCGACTATTATTGAACTGGAAAAACACATCGGACTTAAAGTACGTCTCATGGGCGCGGACATTTTGGAATCAATGCCACACGTGTACATTAAATGAGTTCAGTACAGTTCTTTAGAGTCCAACTTGAATCTGTCTTATTTTCCGTTTTATGAGTTCATATGCCAGTTTCTATTAATCTGAACACTCTATTCTGTGGAGGGACAAAACTTCGTCGGGAATACAGGTACGGTAACTGACGGGTTAACTGGTAAACTAGACTTGACTAGAATTATGACGGCTTATTGCTATGACCCCAGAACAACATGGCAACAGTGAAAAACTTGACCTATGGTAGCTTTAAAGTCCAAAAAAGAGAATATTTAAATTAAGTAAAAGATCTTTGCTCCGGGAAACAATAATATGCTTTAAAAATGAGGACAACTAGGCAATTACAGCGTTACAGTTGCATCGCACTGCGGATCATAATATTTTATTAATTCCACCCCATGCACCTCTTCCGAATTCTTCTCACTATCTACCTTCTCTCTCCCTCTCTGTGCTCTTCCATTCAAATCCCTCTATCCGTCTCTCTGACTCTCTCTTCTCTCCCCATAATCACATTATCATCATCACTATCACAATCACCTCATCGTCATCGTTTTCTTATTGTTACAGTTATTGCGATCACCATAATTGTCACCATCATCTTTATCATCATCATCTTCATCATCTTCACCAACATCATTATCATCATCAACTTCACCATCATCATCATATTCACCCTCATCATCATCCATATCATCATCAACTTTATACCATCATCATCATCACCACCATTATCATCTTCACCGCCACCATAATCATCATCATCATCACCTTCACCATCTTCATCATCATCACCACCATTATCATCACCACCACCATTATCATTTTCACCACCATCATCATCATCATTATCATCACCTTCACGTTTTTCATCATCATCGTTATCATCATCACATTCACCATCATCATCACCTTCACCATCTTCATCATCATCATCATCATCATCATCATCACCCCAACATTATCATTTTCACCACCATCATCATCATCATTATCATCACTTCAACATCTTCATTATCATCACCACCATTATCATCTTCACCACCATCATCACCTTCACCATCTTCATCATCATCATTATCATCATCAACTTTACTATCATCATCATATTCACCACCATCATCATCAATATTATCATCACCTTCACCTTCTTCATCATCATCATCATCACCACCACCATTATCATTTTCACCACCATCATCATCATCATTATCTTCACCATCATCATCATCATCATCATCTTCACCATCATCATCATAATCATCATCAACATCATCTTCACTATGACCATTGCTGCAATAAACATCATAAAAGGCTACAAGTATTTGTTCCTTAGAATTCTTCCAATTTAATCGATGAAATTGATTGCACCCCCATCATGCCTATTTAACCGAGATCAACATAATATTATTATATATTATCCGTATAAACAAACGTAATACATACACATGAACATAACAAATAATAATAATTACTTAAAATAAGACGGATGAATAGCTCTCTTTAGGGCCATTAATTATTAATGGCTCTGATTTTCCTAAAGGTCTAGATGGAGAGGTTGTTTTGTCATAATGACTGATCTTATTAATTTAATCTTTGAATGTATACTCGCAAGTGTTGTTTAAAATTTCTTTTTGTTTCATGTGCTTTACTGTAAAACGAATGTTAATCAGCCTTCGTGCTGCCATTTTCAGTATGCTCAATAAACCATTCAATTTAATTCAATGAGTCAAGTGAATGACCCACGACACCTTCACATGAATGCCATTAAAGTAATGTAAGATAAGTGCTTTTACCGCCTATCAAGAATTAAGAAAGTTACAATATTTCTCTTCTCCCTTGTATACCATGGCACTTTTTGGACATTGATATTCTTTGGTGTTAGTCGACCTACTTCTTACCACAGTCACGATGACTATAATAAAAAACTAATAAACAAAATCATGATGTCAAAGGTATCATAATAATGCGGTACCAATAGTTGGCTTTCAGATGAGGAAAAACGCAACATTTATTCCTGGAAGGAGTACACAAACATTTTTAAGAGCACCCACGGTATTATGAAAAATGTAAAGAAATAAAGTGAAGTGGAATTCGAGCCACTCTTTGAAAAAAGAGAAATGAAACAAATCAAAAAGTGACGGCTCAAAAAAAAATCACCGGAACATAATGAAATCAAGAGAAGAAAAATGATGCGAGACGATTATATCGCCCTCTCCCACATATTCCTCAATAAGAATAAAAGGGACAAGTTGTCGATGTTGAAGTAGAATCATTCATCATCTCCACTGAAAAAAGAAGCCTTTATCGCACGCTTGAATTCTGACAATTTAAAAAGGAGAAAAAATATGCAGTGAATGAAAAAAAATAAGGCAATCTTCAAACATTGTCTCGCCTGCGTCTCACCGTGCGAATAATAACTCAATACACATATGAAAAGTATATAATTTCGAGCTTTCAGAGGTTCAGATTGTAAATTTTGATTCTAGCATGTTAATGTTGCATAGATTTTATCCCTGGAAAATGAGAGAACACCACTTAAGAATGCTGCTAATACTATCTTAAAACCTAGTGTATTAAAAAAAGACACAGACTAGACAATATTCAACTGCGCACGACTGAGAATTATGCCTCTGCCTCTGATTGAATATCCCTCAAATGTTGACCTGGCGATCCGAAATCAATTTGAGATTGTGCGTTGTTCATAAGGTCTACTTAGGTACATATAAAGTTTGATAAAATTGTAGTGGATCATCGTTGAGGTATTGCCGTAAGATGGTAGTGAACCTCCGACCTCATCATCAAAGTTTTATTCAATTATTGCGTGTACAGTGCTTTCATGGAAAATTGATTGACCTTTTGACCATTTGACCTCGGTCTGATTTGACCCATTTTCAAACTTGATCTGCCCCCTTCAAGAGATGTACCTGGGGTTTGAATTTGGTGATCCTACCAGGCACGTAGCCACGAGGGGGGGGGGGGGCACGTGCCCCCAATTTGTTTTCTTCCAAGATCGGTTGAACTTATTTAGACCCATTTTTTTTTACCTCGATCGATTACATGTATGTGCCCCCCCCCCCCCAAACATCAAACTCTGGCTACGTGCCTGATCCTACCTCGAAGCTATACAAATTTATTGCGAATATAGCATGATTGTAGACGACAACAACACGAATGACGCCAGATATAGTGACGCCTATTATGTCTCGCTCCGCTACGCAGGTGAGACAAAAATTACGTCGAATGAGAACTGCTTTTAATAGTTTGATGATTACAGGTGAAGTCGAGTACTGGTCATACGATTCAACGGTGACAAAAAAATATTTGGGACCAATATTATGGAAGGTTCATTTAGTAGTACGTAAGAATCGGTGTATACTCTCAGCTGACTGTGAGGTTTTGAAACTGGGGGAAAGGGACGAGACAAGAAGACTCCTGAACCCCCTCCCATACTCTTCCTCTGAGCAGCAGCCTTTCAAATTCGTGTTTCATTTTACGAGTAAGATCGGTGCCCATCCCCATATCACTCCAGTTCCCTTCAATGGGTTGATTACACTATGCCACTGACATCATCCATTCAATGCACTCACCTTTTAAGTCGACTTTACCGTCATCATTTAAGTCGGTTTTCTTGATCACTGTCTTGATATCCTCCTCCGTCATCGGTGGATCAACGGTTAACATCGCTTGACGCAGCTCGTCAGGACTGCAAGCAAATAATTAACAAATAACAATTATTTGAGTTCACTTTCTCCAAATTTGGTCATTCCATTGAAGTCATTGACTAAATTATCATCAAATATTATTTCGAATGTAATGAATATTGATCCAGCATAGAGGTGCTAAATCTGATCTCGACCATACCATATAGAAAATAAAATTAAGATGGTTGATCTACTCTTGTACAAGCATAACAAGCACAATAATCATCCCCATCCGTCCGGGCAATCACGACCTGGCAAAGACAACAAACACAAACATTTTCGGACAGCTAACTCGTTATACAAATTAACTAGTCCCCGGATAATTGTCATCTCTAAAACAAATATTCTGTTTGCACTATCCTAATGAGGTATATTCTACCAGGTGGTAGATCGTAGTTTTCCTTGGAACTGTTATTGCCTGGTTGATAGTTTTAGAGAAAGAGAGGGGCAGGGGCGGGGGGGGGGGGGGGAGGGAGATGGAGGGAGGGAGCAGGAGGGGTATGTTCAGGGATTGGCTATCCTAACACAGTTTAATATTTGCCTTTAGGAAGAAATTCATCCCATAATCGTCCCCATTAAAATAATGTTCTCCAACAGCGGAAAGTTGGACGGACAATCTATTGGATTTTTTTCTTCTTCAAATTTACCTGATAAATTTTAATGCCATCCTCACACAAGACAAAAAAGCACCCCTTTGTATCCCTTTACTCCTTGAGACTATACCATATCACGCTATCGCTGTCTAACTTACCAAAGGAATCCATTGTTATCCTTGTCCAAGTTGCGGAAAGCTTTTACGTATTTTTTCTTTTTCCTTTTCATTTTTTGTGATATCATCGTCACAAACTCATTAAAATCAATAGTTCCGTTACCTAGCAGTATAAAGAAAAAGAGGTTTCTTAGTTCGCACACAAAATTCCTTTTCGAATAGTAATTCATCTTGCATTCTTACGAAGATTAGATCCGATAATTCACTTAAATAAATGCCTAATGAGTTGAGATATCTTAAGGTGAAAAAAGTAAACGCTTTTATGTAAACTTTGTTGAAATGAAGAGAGAGCAATTTCTGAGCTCTTTTCGTTAAAAAAGATCAGTATGATTTGAGTGATACTGAATTGTGTATAGTACGAACAATTATGACCAATAAAAGTTTTGAAACAAAAACATAAGAGTTTACTTTGAAAGTTGTGCATAATATTAAGTTCTTTAATTAAAGCCTTCTCCAGAATGTACGTTAGGCTACAAAAATTTAGAAACGTTAGAACATGCACAATGGCAATATCGCTTTGTTTAGCAGGCACGTAGCCAGAGTTTGATTTTTTTTGGGGGGGCACATACATGACTTGTAATCGATCGAGGTAAAAACAAGGGGTCTAAAAAAGTTCAACTTTTTAAAATCACATAATTCATTGTTAACATGTTAAACTTCTTACGGATTTAACAAACCATGTTAAACAAAATATGTTTTGTGCTTCAGGTCATAGATTATTAAACTTCAATTTGCATCTTGTGATCAGTTTCATGATTTTCATCATCTCTTTCGTTGTCATTTTTAAAGTCTCCACCATGAACTCACGATTAAGTATCAGCATCATTGATGGTGTCTGCAAGCTCTTCCTGAGTAAGGTCCTGACCCACTGCTTTCATCGCAACATCCAACTCCTTAGTAGTAATGGTGCCATCGTTATTCTTGTCATAGACTGCAAAACGTTTCCTGAATACTACAAAGAGATATTACGAAAGTATTTTTAAAAAGTGCAGATATGGTGTCAGTAAGACAGGGGAGGAAAATGAGCAATATTGCTAATAAAAGCAAAGTCGTTCCTCTTGAAAGCAAATTACTTCTACATGACTAAAAATTATTGGATTGATTAAGAATTTTTTTTCATCATTAGGCGTTATTTCCCTTCATTTCTTCAATATTGCAATCTTCAAATTGCAAGCAGGCGTGATGGCTCAGTGGTATAGCATTGGTCATGAAGCTGGGAGGTCCCGTGATCGAAACCAAGTATATGCGCTAGTGCGTTTTTGGTAAGTCATTAATCCTCATTATCAGGTCCCTCGGAGAGGATTAAAAGCCGTCGGTAATCTGGTTGATTACTTACAAGCACACGCATGCTTTCGTAGCAGTCAGGTAAAACAAACTAACTAACCAACCAACCAACCAACCAATATCCTCTAATGTTAACGATAAATTTCTTTATCCGAGAAGACCAGCTGTTATTTTCACATCTTTAATGATCTTATTTTCTTGTGATGCTCTTTGAGAGCTTACACATTACTGTATACAACTTTCATGTTTAACATGGTTTTATAATAACCTCTTGTTATGTAATTTTGGTCTCCCACTTAAAAAATTAAAACATTCGGACTCTTGCTTTTCGTACCTTCTATTCGTTTCTCGGTAAACAATAATTTGGCTGCCTGTAATGAAAAAAAGAGATAAATGAGATTAAAAGAACATTTTTATTGATGAATTACATTGTGAAATGCAGTATTTTGCTTTATTGACTTAGTATACACCAACAAAAAAAGAGCAGAACAAAAGGGTCACCCACAATGGAAAACCTCGCAGCGAAATATACCAATTTTATACATGGTTGGCCCTCATACCCCTTCGTTGTGATTAGATTAGACAAATTTGGGTGTAATAGTCTGAATATTTAATTGCGAGCGAGCGAAGCAAAAACATTATAAAAAGTAAAAAACAATCCTAATCATGAAAGACTGAAAAGATCTTTGATTAGAAACAAAATGTATTAACATAAAATGCGAGCGATCTTTGGGTGAAATTAAAGAAGTGTTGCTCTTAGTCGCTTTCCTCCTCATAACTGCAGATTATTGTTAGCATCTTTTGTATTTAATGATTTGCCATTAAATCGTTTTTTTACTGTTGTATCTATTGAATATATCTACATGTCTTGTTACCTTGTATATGCCTTACTTTGTAAATTCTTTTCATATGCAGTTAATTGTGGAAATAAAACCTATATAAAATATATAAAAAGTAAATAAAATTAGGAGCACATTTATTAGTGAAAGGAAAAGGGGGCACATATCAAAAGTTAAAAGGACACTTATCAGAAAAGAAAATGAGCACATGTCAAGGTAAAAATCAGAATTATTAAAGGGAAAATGGGTCCTAATCGCAACTGATACGGGGCACTCACCAGAAATTTAAAAAGGCATGTATTACAAAGGAAAAGGGTCAATAATCAGAAGGAAAATGGCACTAATGAGAAAGGATGGGTGCACTTGTCAGAGATAAAAAAAAAGGGGGAAAAGGAGCACCTCTCAAATTTTAATGAGGGCATTCACCGGAGATGAAAAGAGGCGCTTTAAACTGTCAAAACAAAAGGTACACCTCTAAAGATTTGAAAAGAAGAGGTAAAGGGGCACTTATCAGAGGTGGTTAGGTGCATTTCTTGTACCTGAAGAGGGGCACTCACCTGAGATGATTAAAGGCACTTGTGAGAATGGAAACGGGCACTTATTACAAAGGAAAATGGGCTCTTGTCGAAAGAAAAGGGGCACCTGTGAGATTTTAATAGAGGCATTTATCAGACATGTGAGAAGGGGCATTGATGAGAAAGGGAAGTGGCTCTTATTACAAAAAGAAAAAGATCATTTATCAGAAGTAAAAAGGGCAATTAACACAAACGAAAAGGACACTTATTGAAGTAAAATGTGCACCACTCAGATTTGAATAGGGGGAATATGAGGGGGCACTTATCAGAGGTGGTAAAATGTGGAACTGGCACCTTTTAGGAATAAAAAAGGGCACATATCTGAAGTAAAAGGTGACACCTTCCTATATAAAAAGGGGCACCTGAGGGATACCTGAAAAAGCGGCGCTATGACCCCCCCCCCCCCCCCCACGACTCCACTCCCTCTGGGCTAAATTTATAGCCTAAAAGTGTTTTCCTTCCAATTAAAAACATGTATTGATTAGGGTCTCGAACTATCTAGACTTGCTCGTTCTCTCTCTCTCTCTCTCTCTCTCTTCTCTTCTCTTCCTCCCTTAGATTGTCCAAAGCCAAAGAAAGGTGTGTAGTCTTTAAATTATAATTCCAGATTTAAGTCAACAAATATTTATCAAAAATTAAGTCGTTAAGCTTAGAAAGTATGTTAAACCCATCTTTTTTGAGCATGCGGACCAAGATCCGTGGCTCAATCGTCGCTAGAATTCTCAGGGATCCGGGCCTTTTGAACTAAGGCTTTTGCAATAATTCCTCGAGCACCCCCCCCCCCCCTCTTGTTTTGAAAAAAGCATGTTAAAGAGAAATAGAAATAAAAAGAGAACGAAAGAAAGAACGAAAGAACGAAAGAACGAACAAAGAACGAAAGAACAAAGACGTTGAATCTGTAATGGTTAAATTGTAAAAAATCATATTTAATGGCGATCGTGGGGACGGAAAAATTGAAGTAGAACGCATATCAAAGGAATGGGAGGTACAGGCCGTATGTTAAAGTGACTGGGTAACATTGTTGAACGTTGATGAAAAAAATTGCTTAATTTTTGTATAAAATGTTACTTACTATATTCCTTCTACTATACTAACCCTCTGACATGCAAAAAATCCTGAACAAATTCTCAAACCGCAAAGATATCTATGGTTTTCTTTGAAGGCGTCGATGTGAGGCACCCTCTAACAGTGATTAACAGTAAATTCTCCCAACCATTTTTGAATTTTCCCAACCGTTTTTCCATGAGAAAAATACATAAAACAGGCTATAAAAATCTGTCAACACTTAACCGTCTGGAATGGAATGTAGAGCCATTTTATTGCTTTGTGAGGATTTACATTCACCTAAAATGTAATTAAATTGTCCTTGTCTTGATGCTGAACAGGCTTTGACAAGTAGCAGAATAGAAGTAGAATAATATAGTTGGGAGAATTAAAGAATCGATCAGATCAGTTTTTCCCAATTTGTACCATGAATAATGATCCGTTTTCACTCAAATTTTCAGATTATCTTTAATTGTACATCTAGCATTGAAGTCACTACCTTAACACCACTATCTCTCATCTGAACAATGTTACCCAGTCCCTTTAAGCAAATCATAGACAATTTTTGGTAAATGCCCATAAAATTGGTCTGGGTGGAGGCCGATAAGCTTTAGTGAAATTACTTGTTATACCGTATAGAATATAAATTAATTTATGTTTCTCAAGACCGTAATTAAATGCCTAAGTCCACTGAGCTTCCGGGGGGCTCCGCCCCCTAGACCCCACACCAATTTACGCTTCGCTCGCTACCCTCTACCCGATCGTAAATACTTTAGCCCCCCCCCCCCCCCCACTTTGGTGTTCCGCGGGGCCTGTGAATATTATATACGCATAAAAAACACTGATCTTTATGATGTCTTTAACGAGATATAGCTTCTTCTCTCCTTGCAAACGAGAAAGAAAACAAGGTCATTAAAAGGGATTAAGCGACAAACACTGATTTTGTTCAAATTGATGCAAATATTTGTTTGAATAAGCACAGCTATTCACCAAAATCTTCTTTGTAAAAACCACTTTTACAAATCTCAGCCATGCTTACTGAGTTGAGACGTTCCATTCAATTTATAATACTCATTAAAGAATACACTTATCCTAATCTGAAAGTGATCTCACAGCGCAGTGGCAGAATTGCATGGCTGAGATTTGTTAAAGTCGTTTTTTACAAAGAAGATTCTGGTGAAAAGCATTGCTTATTCAAAAAAATCTTTGCATCAATTTGAATCAACAAGATTATTTGTCGCATGATCCTTTCATTAAATAACCTTGTTTTCTTTTTCGTTTGCAGGGGGAGAAGAAGCTATGTGACGTTAAGAAATCATAAAGATCAGATGTATTGTGCGTATATACATAATGAACAGGCGCGTACGCAGGATTTTTTCAAAGGGGGGAGGGGGGTTAACATTTTTAAATCGGGTCGAAAATTTCGCAACGACTCAACCAGCCGCTGAATAAGGGGGGGGGGTTCGAAATTTGAAAATTAGACATTTCGCTCCGTTGGGAGAGGGGGGGGGGTAAGGTCAACTTTTTTAGGTCAGCCATTTGTATTAAAAAAATTAAGATAAAAAAAAGAAAGAAAAGAAAATCACCAAAGGGGGGGGGGGGTTCCTCCAAGATACACACATGAAAAATACCAAGGGGGGGTTCAACCCCCTAACCCCCACCCCCTGCGTACGCGCCTGCATATGAATACAGAACAAAATGTTGATTATTAGAATGTCATTTAGGAATACCTCTATAAAAAAAAAATAATAATAATTTGCCGATACCACATTGTATTTAGCCCGTATCAGTATTGGTATGAGCCAATATAAAGTTATTATTCTTTATTCAGTTCAGTATAATGCTTTTCCTCAACAATAGTTTCGCTTTTTTTTGTTTGTTAGGGTTTCACATTAATGTACATTACACAAACCCACCGGATGGATTGGAAAGGAAAATTCAAGATAAATCATACACGATGATGGAGAAAACAACTTTTTTAGTGAAATCCCCAGACTTGTAAGTAAAGTATATTATTTTGAAAAAAACGTGAATTAAATCATGGAGTAATTGTAAGTACACTCAACCCTACAATAGTATTTCTAATTTGATTTGTGCTAGTCTGTTTCACTAGTGTATGCAGCAATGATTATTGCCCAGGGTACCAGTGTTTCGAGAGAGAAATATGCCAAAATGGAGTTTAAACAGGTGTATTAATACCTCCAAATCATCTAAGAACTGTAGACGACAGCAACATTTCAGAAGGTAAACAAATTTAAATCATGATTATTTAAACAACTTATCATTTTTAGAAATTGGGATAGATCCGGCGAAATTGAAGATTTTTCTGGAATTCAGGTACCTATACCTCTCTTCTGGTCGACTTGCTTTCAAGGAGTGGCAAGGGTGGAGTGCTGATAAATAATCAGAAGGAAAATGGCACTAATGAGAAAGGATGGGTGCACTTGTCAGAGATAAAAAAAAAGGGGAAAAGGAGCACCTCTCAAATTTTAATGAGGGCATTCACCGGAGATGAAAAGAGGCGCTTTAAACTGTCAAAACAAAAGGTACACCTCTAAAGATTTGAAAAGAAGAGGTAAAGGGGCACTTATCAGAGGTGGTTAGGTGCATTTCTTGTACCTGAAGAGGGGCACTCACCTGAGATGATTAAAGGCACTTGTGAGAATGGAAACGGGCACTTATTACAAAGGAAAATGGGCTCTTGTCGAAAGAAAAGGGGCACCTGTGAGATTTTAATAGAGGCATTTATCAGACATGTGAGAAGGGGCATTGATGAGAAAGGGAAGTGGCTCTTATTACAAAAGAAAAAGATCATTTATCAGAAGTAAAAAGGGCAATTAACACAAACGAAAAGGACACTTATTGAAGTAAAATGTGCACCACTCAGATTTGAATAGGGGGAATATGAGGGGGCACTTATCAGAGGTGGTAAAATGTGGAACTGGCACCTTTTAGGAATAAAAAAGGGCACATATCTGAAGTAAAAGGTGACACCTTCCTATATAAAAAGGGGCACCTGAGGGATACCTGAAAAAGCGGCGCTATGACCCCCCCCCCCCCCACGACTCCACTCCCTCTGGGCTAAATTTATAGCCTAAAAGTGTTTTCCTTCCAATTAAAAACATGTATTGATTAGGGTCTCGAACTATCTAGACTTGCTCGTTCTCTCTCTCTCTCTCTCTCTCTTCTCTTCTCTTCCTCCCTTAGATTGTCCAAAGCCAAAGAAAGGTGTGTAGTCTTTAAATTATAATTCCAGATTTAAGTCAACAAATATTTATCAAAAATTAAGTCGTTAAGCTTAGAAAGTATGTTAAACCCATCTTTTTTGAGCATGCGGACCAAGACCCGTGGCTCAATCGTCGCTAGAATTCTCAGGGATCCGGGCCTTTTGAACTAAGGCTTTTGCAATAATTCCTCGAGCACCCCCCCCCCCCCTCTTGTTTTGAAAAAAGCATGTTAAAGAGAAATAAAAATAAAAAGAGAACGAAAGAAAGAACGAAAGAACGAAAGAACGAACAAAGAACGAAAGAACAAAGACGTTGAATCTGTAATGGTTAAATTGTAAAAAATCATACTTAATGGCGATCGTGGGGACGGAAAAATTGAAGTAGAACGCATATCAAAGGAATGGGAGGCAAATCATAGACAATTTTTGGTAAATGCCCATAAAATTGGTCTGGGTGGAGGCCGATAAGCTTTAGTGAAATTACTTGTTATACCGTATAGAATATAAATTAATTTATGTTTCTCAAGACCGTAATTAAATGCCTAAGTCCACTGAGCTTCCGGGGGGCTCCGCCCCTAGACCCCACACCAATTTACGCTTCGCTCGCTACCCTCTACCCGATCGTAAATACTTTAGCCCCCCCCCCCCCCCCTCCCCACTTTGGTGTTCCGCGGGGCCTGTGAATATTGTATACGCATAAAAAACACTGATCTTTATGATGTCTTTAACGAGATATAGCTTCTTCTCTCCTTGCAAACGAGAAAGAAAACAAGGTCATTAAAAGGGATTAAGCGACAAACACTGATTTTGTTCAAATTGATGCAAATATTTGTTTGAATAAGCACAGCTATTCACCAAAATCTTCTTTGTAAAAACCACTTTTACAAATCTCAGCCATGCTTACTGAGTTGAGACGTTCCATTCAATTTATAATACTCATTAAAGAATACACTTATCCTAATCTGAAAGTGATCTCACAGCGCAGTGGCAGAATTGCATGGCTGAGATTTGTTAAAGTCGTTTTTTACAAAGAAGATTCTGGTGAAAAGCATTGCTTATTCAAAAAAATCTTTGCATCAATTTGAATCAACAAGATTATTTGTCGCATGATCCTTTCATTAAATAACCTTGTTTTCTTTTTCGTTTGCAGGGGGAGAAGAAGCTATGTGACGTTAAGAAATCATAAAGATCAGATGTATTGTGCGTATATACATAATGAACAGGCGCGTACGCAGGATTTTTTCAAAGGGGGGAGGGGGGTTAACATTTTTAAATCGGGTCGAAAATTTCGCAACGACTCAACCAGCCGCTGAATAAGGGGGGGGGGTTCGAAATTTGAAAATTAGACATTTCGCTCCGTTGGGAGAGGGGGGGGGGTAAGGTCAACTTTTTTAGGTCAGCCATTTGTATAAAAAAAAATTAAGATAAAAAAAAGAAAGAAAAGAAAATCACCAAAGGGGGGGGGGGGTTCCTCCAAGATACACACATGAAAAATACCAAGGGGGGGTTCAACCCCCTAACCCCCACCCCCTGCGTACACGCCTGCATATGAATACAGAACAAAATGTTGATTATTAGAATGTCATTTAGGAATACCTCTATAAAAAAAAATAATAATAATTTGCCGATACCACATTGTATTTAGCCCGTATCAGTATTGGTATGAGCCAATATAAAGTTATTATTCTTTATTCAGTTCAGTATAATGCTTTTCCTCAACAATAGTTTCGCTTTTTTTTGTTTGTTAGGGTTTCACATTAATGTACATTACACAAACCCACCGGATGGATTGGAAAGGAAAATTCAAGATAAATCATACACGATGATGGAGAAAACAACTTTTTTAGTGAAATCCCCAGACTTGTAAGTAAAGTATATTATTTTGAAAAAAACGTGAATTAAATCATGGAGCAATTGTAAGTACACTCAACCCTACAATAGTATTTCTAATTTGATTTGTGCTAGTCTGTTTCACTAGTGTATGCAGCAATGATTATTGCCCAGGGTACCAGTGTTTCGAGAGAGAAATATGCCAAAATGGAGTTTAAACAGGTGTATTAATACCTCCAAATCATCTAAGAATTGAAAATTTGCCGGATCGACCTTTCGTTCCGTTGGGGGGGGGGGGGGGTAAGGTCACCTTTTATTATGCCACCGATTAGCTTCTTTTTTTTTTTAAACCAAAAACAAACAAGGGGGGGTCCTCCAAAATGCACATAGGCCTATAAGAAACCCAAAGGGGGGGTTAACCCCCACCCCCCCCCCCTCCCTGCGTACGCGTCTGGGTACAGGTGTACCCTCTATACGTAGTTGTGGATAGTGTTTGTATAATTCAGAAGTAATTGCATTTTCGTTTTCTATGCCGAATGGGATGGGTTGCTCAATCTGAGGGCTCTTTTGTGTTCATTAAGAGTTCTGCCAGTTTCACCAACATATGAATTGTTACAATCTGTGCACGTAATCTTGTACACAATACCTGTCTTTTCCCCTCTTGGGATTTTGTCTTTTGGGTGGACAATTATGGATTAAGAGGATTAAGCCAACACTTAGCAGGGACTCTGTGCACCTAATGTCACCGAAAAGACAATAAAATATAACCTGTGATCAATATAGACTATAGAGACAGATTGCTGTTGCGCATTGCGACATTATAGACGCCAATCGGTGAATGAAACTTATTTTCTGAATAGATAGAGCTATTAATCAAAGTTTGGTGAAGCTTAAAGCCAATCTCGAAAATCTTCTCTCAAAAGATTGAAGAAAGAAAGTAAAATTTCTCTGGATCTCAAGTACCGATAGTCCGATACCTCTCTTCTGGTCGACTGGCTTTCAAGGAGTGGCAAGGGTGGAGTGCTGACAAAAGAGTACTATACAGCGAAGAGTGATGACTCCTGAAATAAAGCACGTGACCACATGATAGGAATGTTGTTGTTGTTATTTTAGTTTTAAACGACGAGTATTAGTCCGTAGTTAATTTTTAAGCCAAAGAAAGAAATCCAGGTTATAGTATTTATCAAGACGTTTCCTTATTATTTCTTCTCTCTTTTGCTCGTTTAGTTTTAAGTAAAAAGCATAATCGTGATATATTATAGTATTAATGACTGCTTTGAGAGAAATAGTTGTTTTTATACGCTCAAGGGAAGGTTAGAATTGTGCTATTGCCCGAGGCGTGCCGAGGGCAATAGCCCAATTGTAACCTTCCCGAGAGCGTATAGAAACAACTATTTCTCGAATATTAAAGCAGTCATTAAAACTTTTATATGCCGAAAAAATTATGACACCACCTTGGCCTTTCTCTAGTTTATCTGCACGGTTCTTTTGTATGAGTGTTTCTTTGAGAGTAGACTATATCTAGATTCAAGTCTAAGCAAGATATTTTTACAATTTTAGGGGTGGGCCGGCCCTGTGGGGAATATGGAGAAAAACCTGCGCTTTCATATGACACCTCACTTATTGAGTATCACCTTCAGGATCACGAGCAATATTAGTTTGAATCTCTGGTAATTAAAACATCGACCAATCTAGCATGATCGAGTGCGCAATGGCCAATGGAAATGCATAGGGATGTGTGTAATCTCTACGGGAAGGATCTGCATGCATCTGTCCGTGACGTAAAAATCATAACAATCACCAGCATCTGGTTGTCGCGTACTAGAATTTAGGCCTACTGAAAAAAAATTATGGAAGATTTCACGTACCCTTTTTGGTGTTCTTGCTGTCAGCATGTCTCGCATATGATCCTCATCTAGAAGTTGAAATCTTCGGAGTTTCTACAGCCATTTTTGCCTTGTTTGAATCGAGATATATTGCCGTACTAAAAATGCCGACCAATTCTTCGCACACGTACGGTATCCGCGATCGCTCAAACAATTTTTTAACATGTAAACCTATGGGTAACCATTTAGAACTTATTATATTATTTAGAACTATTTTCCGGTAACCATGGTAACTGGGATTTTAGAACTATTTGTTTGAACTATTACATGGGTTTGGAATTTTACCGGGAATTTTACAGGAATAGTTAAAGTTTATGAATGCAATTTCGACCAATCAGATGGCTGGATTTCTTAAGTGAGGTATATAATCCATTCTAGTAATATTTGTCCTAGGACCAGTACCATTGCTAAGGAGAAAGAAGACTGACACAAATTGTGGAAAGTGCAAATATAGTTCACCCCGTAATCATGGTAATGTTGTAGGCGTTAACTTGATGAATTAGATGTAAAATAGTTACCCGCATTTTTATGTTAAAAACATTTTCAATTCAATTCAATTTTATTTCGCAATATAAAAATCAAAATATACAAAGTAACGGTAAATTATAACTATGTTTACAAAGGTTATATGCGGAGCTTTCCATGAAGGTTGCAAAAAACCTGTGAAGTTGGATCGCCCATTAAAGAATGAAAAACAATACTAAAAGAAATATAAAATATTATAATAAGCACACATCAATAAATTAAGTATAAATTAATAAGACAAGATAAAGTAAAATAGAAAGAAGAAACAAAATATTTAAAGGGGGAAAACAAAACAAAACAAAACAAAACAACAATGGATGATGGTTCAGATATAAAAATTAAAAAAATCAACAACTGCTGATTAATAAATATTTAGTAGTAAGATTTTATATTGTTTTCTAAAGGAAGATATTCTTAAACATTTATTTTGAACGTTGAATAGTGAGTCTAATTCAGTTTGTGTTGCATTGGTAGCCCATACAATATTTCAAATAAGGGAAAATAATGGAATGATATAAAGTTATCAAAATTAATGTTCGGGTAACAAACTATATTTTAGCTTATTTATCAAGCCAGAGAACAGAGAGAACAGGGGGAAAGGAGAAGAGAATTTAGGGAGAGAGGGGGGGGGGGGTGGCCGGGGAAAGGCGGAGAGTGAATTGGTCGGAACACATAAAGCGATTTAATTAAGTTCCCTGTGATCAATATCATAGAATGGAGACAGATCACTGTTGCGCATTGCGACATATCATTACGCCACCGTGAATGAAACTGATTTTCTGAATGGATAGATCTTTTAATCAAAGTTTGGTGAAGCATAAATCCAATTTAGAAAATCTTCTTTCAAAAGATTGAAGATGGAAAGTAACATTTCTCTGGATCTCAAGTACCGATACCTCTCTTCTGGTCGACTAGCTTTCAAGGAGTGGCAAGGGTGGAGTGCTGACAAAGAGTACTATTCAGCGAAGAGTGATAACTCTCGAAATAAAGCACGTGACTTTTGCTGGGACTGTTGTTATTTTAGTTTTAACGACGAGTATTAGTCATCGAATTGAGTGTGTTGGTACGAGTCCGCAGTGAATTATCACGCTGAAGAAAAAAATCAAGGCTATAGTATTCAATACTATCAAGGCGTTTCCTTATTATTTCTTCTTTCTTTTGCTCGTTTAGTTTTAGGCTATTAAAAAAAGTACATGTATAGCGTCCCCGTCCGCTTCCTTTTTGGGGGCCGCCTTCTATTTATTTATGTTTTAATGATTTGTTTTCTTCCAATGAATTAAAACAAGACAACTATACTGCTAAAATAATCTATTTCTAATTTACAACAACAAAAAACTCTGGCGGCCATCTTGAAAAATAGCCCGACTATAAGGAAACATGTACCGAGCGGCCATTTTGAAAGAATAAAAGGGCCTCCTCCGTAATTCCTTTTTTTTCTTCAAAAAGGCAGGACGCTAAACATGTTTTTTTTTATTTGGCCTTAGTAAAAAGCATAATGGTAATATATTCTATTCTAGTAATATTTGTCCTAGGACCAGTACCAGTGCCAAGGAGAAAGATGTCAACAAAATGTTTGTGGAAAGTGCAAATATAGTTCGCCCGCAATCATGGTAATGTTGTAGGCGTTAACTTGATGAATTAGATGTAAAATAGTTACCTGCATTTTTATGTTAAAAACATTTTTGAGAGAACAATGAGAAAAGGAGGAGGGAATTTAGGAAGAGAGATCGGGGGGGGTGGGGGGAGAGGTGGCCGGGGAAAGGCGGAGAGTGATTTGGTCGGAACACAAAAAGCGAATTAATTAAGTTCCCTGTGATCAATATCATAGACTGGAGACAGATCACTGTTACGCATTGCGACATATCATTACGCCACTGGTGAATGAAACTGATTTTCTGAATGGATAGATCTATTAATCAAAGTTTGGTGAAGCATAAAGCCAATCTAGAAAATATTCTCTCTCCGATATCGGTTCATCGAATTCAGTAAACACCAATGAACGTAGTAAGTCCATGGTGTAACTGCACATGCGTTGTGATCTCTCGTGATACTAATAATGATTCCAACCATGTTCACTGTTTCACCCTAATCTGGGACAAATTTTTACATTCATTTTAAAAACAATGTTGCTCGGTGAAGCGTGTATGGATTGATGCCATCAATGTATAGTTACATTTTGAAAGCATTTTACTTTTACTTTATGAAAAGCATGGAATCATATTTTAGACAGCTCATAATTATAGTCTATAAAGAAATGGGATAACTGTTCAGCAAAGAAACTATTCACTGGTATTTCCTTTATACCTATTAGTTTGATCATAAAAAAGAATAGCACTGTTTTTTATGTTTATAAATGCTTATAGTTGTCATTAAAACCCAATAATTCAAATCAAATAAAATCAATTAAATAAAAATCAATTCCCTTTTATGACTTATCTATAAGGAAAAACCTGTATCAACAAGTGTAATCATATTGTAATACATATTCATATAACTTATACATTTATGCATCTCTCTCTCTCTCTCTTTCATCACATTGAGTCAGTGTCACTACCAACACCACCATCACCATCTTCACCACCACAAACACATCATGACTACCACGACCATCAACCACCATTATTCTTTGAAAAGGGGGAACAAAGGCTAAGCAGGGAGGTGTTTAACTCTCATATCCATGGGCTAAGTATGTAGCATCTCCATCGCTGTAGGAGGATTATTTCAAAATGTACAAAGTGAGACCTCTTCATGTTTTGAAAATCTGTGGATATTCGGGGTCATTGCAGCCATGATGTGCTAACCGTGAACTGGTCAACTGCCACGACCATCAAGCACCTTTAACAACATCACCACCAGTTCTTATAAAAAAATTGTTCAATTCTATTGTATGACTTCTCTAAAAGGAAAGATCTGTATTAACAAGTGTAATCATCCCATCATCCACAACTACCTCGACCATCAAGCACCTTTACCAACATCACCACCAGTTCTTATAAAAAATGTTCTATTCCATTGTATGACTTCTCTATAAGGAAAGATCTGTATTAACAAGACATCACATGATCCACAACTACCTCGACCATCAAGCACCTTTACCAACATCACCACCAGTTCTTATAAAAAATGTTCTATTCCATTGTATGACTTCTCTATAAGGAAAGATCTGTATTAACAAGTGTAATCATCACATGATCCACAACTACCTCGACCATCAAGCACCGTTACCAACATCGCCACCAGTTCTTATAAAAAATGTTCTATTCCATTGTATGACTTCTCTATAAGGAAAGATCTGTATTAACAAGTGTAATCATCACATGATCCACAACTACCTCGACCATCAAGCACCGTTACCAACATCGCCACCAGTTCTTATAAAAATGTTCTATTCCATTGTATGACTTCTCTATAAGGAAAGATCTGTATTAACAAGTGTAATCATCACATGATCCACAACTACCTCGACCATCAAGCACCATTAACAACATCGCCACCAGTTCTTATAAAAAATGTTCTATTCCATTGTATGACTTCTCTATAAGGAAAGATCTGTATTAACAAGTGTAATCATCACATGATCCACAACTACCTCGACCATCAAGCACCATTAACAACATCACCACCAGTTCTTATAAAAAAATGTTCTATTCCATTGACATTGTATGACTTCTCTATAAGGAAAGACCTGTAATAACAAGTTTAATCATATTGTAATACATATATACCTTATATAAATAATAATAATAATAATAACAACATTTATAATGCGCACAAAGTCATATCCACCCCAAGAGATGCTCAAGGCGCCTAACATGGATTTTTGCATCACTTTCTCTCTCTCTCTCTCTCTCTCTCTCTCTCATCGAATTGCGTCAGTGTCACTACCACCACCACCATCACCATCTTCACCACCACAAACACATCATCCACAACTACCACGACCATCAAGCACCATTACCAACATCACCACCACTACCCCCAACCACCACCAGTATATTCACGGTATACTTGAGATAATTGCGCTCAATCTTGGATAAAAAATTAGTTAACAGTATCTTGCTTAGTAAAGTTTTACAGCTTTCAAAATAATAATAGATCAGTATCATTGTCTGTGATCTCATCATTACAATACATACATTCATACACCGTTACAATATACAGTTCCAAATGTGATAGTTGTATTACTTTGGATAGTTTGCGAAATTTCATATCCTTATATTGATTTCCTTCATGTATTTGGAATTCTGGAATGAAACGTCTTCACAGAGGTCTAAAATAATCTAACAACATGAGTAATCGCATATTCACATACAAGCAATGGATTTGGGCCTATGGACTGGGTCTTAAAGATAAACTTGAGTTCTGGAGAGAAACAAATGAATTCCCACAGATTCAGACGAAACTTACACTGAATGTTCAAGATTACAAATAAATGTTATTTGCAAAACAATTTTGGAAGAAAATGTATACTGGCAGAGTAAAGAGCATAGAAAAATAAGGAAAGCGAGGTAAGTAGCCCCGACACCAGTAGTCACATATACATCTTTCTGTGTACAGTGCTTGTTACTTTACCAAGACTGGGCTAAATTTATTATGATTTTGATGACTCCAGAATATTGCAGTACACACCAATACTTACATGCTATGATCTACTTTTTCTGATCCATTCCACACCCTTTCTTTTATAATGCAATCACATGACCAGAACTGAACCTTATCTTTAGTCACTTTCGAGGATGTTTTAAATCTACAAAGTGAAAATGAGATAGCCTGAGTAGGGTTGGGTGTATTTTTTTGCTATTGTTTGTCCATTCTCACATCACTAGTTTCAAATAAACACCAAATCATTATTGCCTCGCCGGGGCATCACACATTTTATTTTGCGCATTGAAGTTCCGACTACAGCTTGCGAGCATTTATAATCGCTTTCAATAAAAAAAGCAAAATGACTTTATCAATGAATTTGAAGGGTGGACGATGTGATAAAGTCACTTTCTGACTGATTCAAAATGATAATAATGAGGATTATTCAAGAAATGGTGCGGGCACCCACACCATAGGGATGTTAATACACCTAGCTATGGATGCATGGTTTTAGCGCCGGTCTGTACTAGGATCTGACACGAATCATCATAGAATTCAACATGATTAGAAAGTTTACTCATGATAACCAACTTCAGAGTGAAACTGAAACGATGAACTTGTACTTATATAATTTAAGTTTTAAATCAACTCATTTAATTTAACACATTGTCTCGTCTCCACTGCTTTAAAAATTAAGACAACATTACTAAGCTATCACTTTATTACAGTATTGTCGCACTACGGATCATAATTGTTCTCTCTATCTCCGTACTCTCTCCCTCTCTGTGCTTTTCCATTCAAACCCTCCCTCTATCCGTCTCTCTGACTCTCTCTTCTCTCCCCATAATCACATCATCATAATCATCACTATCACAATCATCTTATCGTTTTCTTATTGTTATAGTCATTTCGATCACCATCATCTCCATCATCATCATAATTATCATAATCATCATCATCGTCATCATCTTCACCAACATCATCATAATCATTATCATCACCATCACCTTAACCGTTATCATCATCAGCATCACCATCACCATCATCATCTACACCATCCTCACCATCACCTTAACCGTTATCATCATCATCATCAGCATCACCATCATCATCTACACCATCATCATCATCATCTACACCATCATCATCATCTTCACCATCATCATCATCATCATTATTATCATCATCACCATCATCTTCACTATGACCATTGCTGCAATAAACATCATCACAAGCTACAACCATTAAATTGTCTGTGTGCCCATGCCTTGAGCCATAATGCATGGCTGTCCAGAGGATTTTTTTTATGTTGGGGACCGGGGTAAAATGCAATAAATTATTGAAAATTTATTGCATTTTCTGTGTTTTTTTTTTAATTTATGGAAACTGCCCCCTACCCTAGCCCCCGCTGCGTACAGTCATGGTTCAGTGACAAAGCAATGGCCTCGTAACTGAGGCCCCAGGATCAACACCGTGTCGATGCGCTATATTAGTGCCCCTTTGTGGGACATTATCCTCATAACTGTCATTTATGACTTGAGGGCATAGGTCCCCTACTTGATAAGCATAATAGCATATACATGCTTTAGCAGTCACGCAAAACACACATTGGCAAATTATTATTCAATAAAATCTGAGAATGTATACTATTATCTAGATCTAGTATTTTTAAATTATTTTTATAATAATTCCATAAATTGGGATAAAAAAAATCTATTCCACCGTTATGAGCGACAGTGTATTATCCCCATAGAGAAAGACTAAATATTTGCAAACAAGTATAATCATGATAATGGTTAACTTTATCTGCCGTTGGGCCCCCATGTAAATATTTGTAGTATAGTTATAATAATATCTCACAATGCTTGAATCGCGAACCATGAGGTGGACAGTCATAATCATCATCATCATCATCATCGTCATGAACATCATCATCATCATCATCACCATCATCTTTATCACCATCGTCTCTGTCATTATCATTTCGTCAACGAAGCAAGTAACGTTTGTGATATATATTCTTTAAAATACATGATTCATTCTTTACAGCAATTATTACATGAATTAAGGGTGTCATTTCCAAAAACTACTATAAAACTATGTTTTCAAAGACAACATACAAACTGGACGGTATTACTATCAGAGTATTATTTGGCAGAGTTTTATTTAGTGAACATTGCATGATTATAAATTGCACCGTATATAATTGTTTACCTATACCCATTTTCTCCACTTTACTCTAAGTGATAACGCCACATAATGCTTATGCTAATAATAACCATAACCATATTACACCAACCCATAAACAATTGCATTAGCTCCCCCATTCAATTTCGCGTCCAGTTCAAAGTTCTTCTTTTAACCTTCAAGTCTCTACATGGTCATGCCCCAGATTATCTTTCTGAACTGATTCAATTATACACACCCAATAGGCCCCTTCGTTCTGCCAATCAAACTCTCTTGACCGTTAAAAAAGCAACAACAAAAAATTTGGTGATAGGTCCTTTTCATGCTCTGCTCCGCGTTTGTGGAATTCTCTCCCAGCCTCCATTTGTTGCATCTCTGATATTACTTTGTCTACATCAAAATTAAAAACCTACCTAATGGAAAATGCATATTCAACCTAGTTCTTAAATTGTTACCTATTTCTTAAATTGTTACCTTGTTCTTAAATTGTTACCTTACCTTGTTATCTTATGTTTCATAATTTCACTTCATATTTGTTCTCTTGTCATTACTCTGTTTAGTTTTAATTGTATCAATATTGTAAAGCGCTTTGATATAAATGTCTTATGAAAAGCGCTATATAAGTAAAAGTTATTATTATTATCATTATTATAATGCTAGTAATAATAATAATAATAAAAACGATAATAATAATAACAATAATGATAATAATAACAATATTAATAATAATAATAATATTAATAATAATAATAATAATGATAATAATAACAATAGTTTGGTTGACTAAAGTTAGCAACATCATTATTAATAATGCTGTTCCTGCGGGCCCTGCAATTATCATTACCTCAGCAATTGCCAGGTACCCATTAACACCTGGGTGGAGAGTGGCAAATGTGGATTAATGCCTTGCCCAAGGACGTTAGTGCCGGGCTCTCAACCCTTGGAGTGGTTTGGTTTAGTTTCATTTTCCGTATAAACAAACATGATACATACACATGAACATAAAAATAATTATAATAACTTAAAAATAATACGAATGAATAGCTCTCTTTAGGGCCATTAATTTAATTGCTCTGATTTCCCTAGAGGTCTAGATGGAGAGGTTGTTTTGTCATAATGTTTGATCTTATTAATTTAATCTTTGTGTTTAAAATTTCTTTTTGATTCATGTGCTTTACTGTAAAACGAATGTAATTCAGCCTTCGTGCTGCCATTTTCAGTATGCTCAATAAACCATTCAATTTAATTCAATGAGTCCAGTGAATGACCCACGACACATCCACATGCAGGGGCGTACGCAGGAGGGGGGGGGGATTTTGGGGTTCAAACCCCCCCCCCCCCTTTGGTATTTCTATGTATGTAAACCCCCCTAAAAAAAACCTAAACCCCCCCCCCCTTTGGTTGTTTTTTTTTATTATTTTTTAAATTTTTTATTGTTAAAAAAAAAAAAAAAAAAAAAAAAAAAAATTATACCCACGGCTAACCTAAATAAGGTGACCTTACCCCCCCCCCACGACAAAAATGTCAAATTATGAAATTTCGAGACCAAAAAAAAAAAAAAAATGTGTCCGCTTACCCCCCCCCCCCCCCCCCCCCCCCCCCCCCCCCCCCCCCCCCCCCCCCCCCCACTGAGCGACTTTTCGGCTGGCTGAGTCGTTGCGATTTTTTTTGACCTCCAAAAAAAAAAAAGTGTCCGCCTACCCCCCCCCCCCCCCCCCCCCCCCCCCCAAAAAAATGTAAAGAAATAAAGTGAAGTGAAATTCGAACCACTCTTTGAAAAAAGACAGACAATACAAAACAAAAAGTGACAGCTCAAAAAAACATTCACCGGAATATATTGAAATCAAGATAAGGAAAATGATACAACGATCATAATTATCATCCTCTCCCAAAGATTCCTCAGGGAGAATAAAAGGGACAGGTTGTCGATGTTGAAATAGAAGATAAGAGTTCATCATCTTCACCGAGTAGTTTATTAAGCAAAAATCATCGTAACGAGTTCTGTATGGTAGAAAATGAGAAGAAATATGCAGTGAATGAAAAGAAATAAGGCAATCTCCAAACGTTTCTCGCCTGCGTCTAACCCAATATGCATATGAAAAGTATGTAATTTCAAGCTTTCAGGAGTTCAGGATGTGAATATTGGTTCTGACAGTTTCCGGTAATGGTAATGTTCAACGACTTTATCCCTGGAAAATGAGAGAACACCACTTAAGAATGCTGCTAATACGATCTAAGAACCTATGGTATTAAACAAAACACAGACTAGAAAAAAAATCAACTGCATCCGCCGTTGAGAATTATGCCTCTTCCTCTGATTGAATATCCCTCAGGTACAATGCTTTTTTCACATGACATAACTTTATGTTGACATGCCGAGTCGAAATCATTTTGAGAATGCCTTTCAAATTCGTATTGCATTTTCCGAGTAAGATCGGTGCCCCTCCCCATATCATTCCAGTACTCCAGGCACACTGTCCTACTTGTAGCTACTTGCTCCCTCTATATAGAAAACTTCCCAAATCGGTGCCTGTTGGTCCCCCATGATCCTCTTTTTCTTATGTTAAATGAGAGCTGAGTTAATGAGATAGCCACCTGTCACAGTGACCTCGTTGGCTCGCTGTGTGGTCTAATCCCTTCTAGCTGCAGTAGTAACGCCTACCTTTAATGGATGGATTGCAATATGCCACTGACATCATCCTTTCAATGCACTCACCTTTATAGTCGATCATACCGTCATTATTGGAATCGGCTTTCTTGATCATTGCATTGATATCCTCCTCCGTCATCGGTTGATTAACGGTTAACATCGCTTGACGCAGGTCGGCAGCACTGCAAGCAAATAATTAACAAATAATAATTACTTTGAGTTCACTTCCTCCAAATTTGGATCATTCCATTGAAGTCATAGACTATTATCATCGAACATTCTTTCAAAATGAATGTAATAACTATCGATCCAGCATAGAGGTGCTAAATCTGATCTCGACCATACCAAATAGAAAACAAAATTATGACCATTGATCTACTCTTGTACAAGCATAACAAGCACAATAATCATCCCCATCCGTCCGGACAATCACAACTACAAACACAAAAATATCCAGACAACTAACCCGTGATACAAATTTACTGATACCCGGATAACTATTATCATCCCTAAAACAACTATTCTGTTTGCACTGTCCGAATGAGGAATATAAAGGGTATATTTACCCAGGTAGTAGGTCGTAGTTATAATTGTCTGTTGATAGTATTAGTGAGGGAGAGAGATATGCTTTTCACACTGGCAATATTTTCCTTAACCCCACCTATAGTACGGGGTTAAGCCTATTCCACTTTCTGTTCACACTGGTTTTTACCAAAGTGGGCTAAAGTTGGCTAACCCCACCTATAGTACGGGGTTAACTAACCCTGCAAAATAGCAGGGCTAACTCCGCAATTGTGGTGCTAACTCCTGCTAACCCAGCAATTGCGGTGCTAAGCAAACGAATGAGAACAGAAACGAAAAATAGTCCGGTACTACGCAATGGAGCGTATCGCAGCTGGCCAGATGCGAAGTATGTCCTATCATAACATACACGATATCCGGGGTTAACGAAATGCAGTGAGAACAGCGGGAATTTTCTTATTCCGGAATAGGCGCTAGTACGGGACTAAAAACAGCGAGTGTGAAAAGCCAAAAAAATAGTCCGGGGTTAAGGATAGTACGGGGCTAAGCAAAGTACGGGGTTAAGCAAAACCAGTGTGAAAAGAGTAGAGAGAGAGAGAGAGAGAGTGGGGGGCAGAGAGGGGAGTCTATTGCCATCTTCATAAAAGACTCGGAAAGCACCCCTTCTAAAGCAGGGCTCCCACTTAGCCGAGTTGGAGCCTCGAGTTGTGGCGAGCTGGCGCGATCTTATGGCAAGCAGTTGTATCATTAAAACATATTTCTTGATATCAAGAATTCAATTCTTGATATCACGAAATCGAATTCCTGATATCACGAAATCGAATTCTTGATATCAAGAGTTACCATTGCTTTACAACGTAAAATTATTTCTTGATATCAAGAATTGATTTCTTGATATCAATTAATAATAAAACGGCTTGCCATAAGATCGCGCCAGCTCGCCACAACTCGAGGTTCCAACTCGGCTAAGTGGGAGCCCTGCTTTATACCTTCACTACATGTATAGTCCAACTTACCAGACGAGTCTGTTGCCATCCTTGTCCGCGTCGCGGAAAGCTTTGTTGTATTGCGATACTTTATTCCTCATCTTATCAGCTATCATCGTCAAAAACTCCGAATATGCAATATATCCAATACCTAGCCAAATGACGAAAAATAGGCTTCTTTAATAGTTCCCACACAAAACTCCTTTTCGAATATTGATTCTTATTATTATTATTATTATTTTATTTGGCAGAAAACACATGATATCAAAATACAGAGTTGAAATAAACAATTAATAGCAAATCACACACAAAAAAGGAACACTGGGTGCACCTGGCTGTGCTGCCAGGCGTTGGGCAAAGTTAACCAAATAACTATAGTCCGCAGACCGCCCTCACCTATATCCCAACCAGATGCAAGCAGTTGCAGATTTATGTGACAAGGAAATATAAGAGATACATATACCACATTCAAATAATTAAAATGCATCAAGACAAAAACTTCAAATTTCCCTAGGGTTGCATTGCATTCTTAATGCTCGATTTCAATATACGAAGATTAGATCCGATAATTCACTTTAATAAATGCCTAATGAGTTGACACATCTTGATGTGATGGAAAGTAAACACTTTTATGCAAACTTTGTCGAAATGAAGAGAGAGCAATCTCTGAGTTCTTTTCGTTTAAAGTAATGGAAATTATTTGAGTGCAAATGAATTGTGTAAAGTACGAACAATTATGATCAATACAAGTATTGAAACAAAAACACCAGAGTTCCAGTTTAAAGTTATGCTTAATGTTCTGTTCTTTAATTACAAGCTTTTCAAAATTCAAATAAAGCCTTCTCCAGAATGTACGTTTGGCTGCAAAAATTCAGAAACTTTAGATCATGCACAATGGCAATGTAGCTATTACAGACAATGTGAACTTTAACCAACGTTTTGTTGTCTATGTTTGACTAATCTTTTCAGGATGACAAAACACAGTCATCATATGATATTTTGCAAAGCACCCACACTGTATAATAATCAATCACATTTTAATGATAGCAAAACGGTGTATTTACCTGTGCATGAACAAGAAAAACAAGCTAAGCATTGATTGTCTTAAAAGGATGCTTTTTACTTCGTATAATATCCCATTCACATAATAAGATTTTTTCTTACAAGTCCTTACGGGTCGCTAACTCGAAGTCAATCGCAAGCATCTGTAAATAACCCGTAACAACTCGCAGACACTCTTAAGGTTCCGTGAAAGGAGAGGCAGTTTTTTTTTTACATGTCAAAAATCTTCTTACGATTGTCCTCGGAATGATATTTCCGTAAATAACTCGTAAAAAGTTCGTAACAGTCCGTAAGTATTGTAAACTGCTCTCAAGAATCCGTAAATGACTCGGGACAATTTTTTTAACGATTGGTTACGGTTAGTTTACGATTTGTTAACGGATTATTTGCGGATTAATACGAGGGGTTACGTGTTGTTTTTCGATTTCATTCGGGTCGTGTTACGATGGCTTTACGGATTATTACGAGTTATTACGAGCACTTTACGTGTGATTACGAGTACTTTACGAATAGATATGACATACTAGACGTATTCTTACGTACTGTTTACGGATTGGAGAAAGGTATAAGCTGCAAAATCGATCACTTCATTTTCAGTCCTTATTTTGTGGCCAAAAATCGTCAGGACTCGTAAGTATTGGTAACTAACTTGTAATTATTCGTAACAGCACGTAAACAGGTCGTAAATAACACGTAAGTTGCTCGTAGTTATCCGTGACAACTCGTAAGAAATCGTGGGATTTTGCCGTAAATACGTCGTAATAACTCGTAATAATACTTAATAAACCGGAAATAGCTCGTAATAACTCTCAATCAGTCTTAAATCGTTAGTAAAAGTGGCCAAATCGTAGGGATCCGTAAAAGATCCATGAATTCGTGCGATCCGTAAGGACTCGTAAAAAAAAATCCGTCTATGTGAAGGGATTATAAAGAAGAACAATGTGTTGCAAATCGAAAAGGCAAGCTCTCAATTCACCATAGAAAATAGAATTCTGTGCTACCGCTTTTTCATTTTGATTAGTTTTACCTTTCACTGTAATTATTGTTGACCTGATGGCCTCTTTTAAAATACGTCATAAACAGACATTCAAGTAAGCTGTTGATTTATCCCCTCGCCGCAAAAGTCATAGGGGATTACTGTCCTTCCGTCCTTGCGTAACAAATCTGGTTTCCGTTCGATAACTTTAGTAATCAGACGGATTTTAATGAAATTTGTTATGAAGGTACATGGTATCAAAACACAGCCTAAGTTCGATTTCGGAGTATGTAAGTCAAAGGTCAAAGGTCATAGCTCATTAAATATGAGAAAATACCTAATTATATAATATGCGAAAATGTGGTTTCCATCCCGAGGATAACGTCAGTAATGTTGTTAAGTATGTACGCCAAAGGTCAAAAGTCACAGTTCATTAAATATGCAAAAAATGCTAAATACAGGTCATTTGTACCTGGTGAGGAGATGCTACACTTTGCGTTGACTTGTATATGTTACATCAATATTATTATGCAAAATATTTAGGGTATACATGGAATATGTTTTGTGAACTGAAAAGTATCAATAAAACATCTTTAAAGATAGCCCTTTTTCAGTACGGAATGACTTTTTTAATCAAAGAATTCTATGTTAACATGTTAAACTTCTTTTACAGATTTTAGCAACTCATGTTAAATAAAATATGTTTCATGCTTCAGTTCATATAAATTATTAAACTTCAATTTACGTGTTGTGGTCAGTTTCATCATCCCTTTCGTTGTCATTTCCTATGTCTTCACTATGAACTCACCATCTTCACCAACTACAACCTGACTGGTCTTTTTTAACAGCTCAGCCTCAGTAAACCTCTGACCAACTGATCTCATCGCAGTATCCAAGTCCTTAGTAGTGATGGTGCCATCGCCAATTATGTCAAAGGCAGAGAAACCTTTCTTAAATACTACAAAGAAGTAATACAAAATAATAAATAAAGTGCAGATATGGTGTCAGTAAGAGAGGGGAGGAAAGGAGCAGTAATAAAACTAATAGGCCCTATATATGAACTAGCAAAAGACTGGCAATTGCTAATAAAAGCAATATCGTTCCTCTTGAAAGCAAATACTTCTATTTGACTAAAAATTATTAGATTGAATGAGAATTTGTTTTTCATCATTAGCGTTATTTTTGCTTCATTCCTTCTATATTGCAATCTTCAAATTGCAAGCAGACGTGGTGTCTCGGTGGTAGAGCAGTGGTCTCGAAGCGGGGAGGTCCCGTGATCGAAACCAAGTATGTGCTAGTGCCTTTTAGATTAAGGCATTAATCCTCATTACCAAGTCCCTTGGAGAGGATTGAAATCCGTCGGTCCCCTTGTTGCTTACTTACAAGAACACACACACATGCTTTCTTAGTAGTCAGGTAAAGCAAACAAACTTAACCAACCAGCCAACTAACCGATATCCTCTCATGTTAACGAAAATTTTGTTTATCCTAGAAGACCATCTTTAATGATCTTATTTTCTTTTGATGATCTCCGAGAGCTAACATTTTACTGCAATACTAGTATCATGTTTGACATTGTTTTATAATACCCTCTTGTTATAGATTTGGTCTCCCACTTTAAAAATTGAAACATTCGGGCTTTTGTTTTTCGTACCTTTTAATTGCTCTTCGGTAAATAATAATGAGGCGGCCTGTAATGAAAAAGAAATAAACAAAATTAAAAGAACATTATTAGCGATGAGCGATCTACATTGTGAAATGTCCTATTTTGCTTCATTGACTTATTATACACCAACAAAAAACGGCACTTCCTAGAGAAAGAGAGGGTGACCTACAAAGGGAAAACTCGAAGCGAAAATATACCAATGTTATTCATGGGTAGGCCCTTATACCCCTACATTGTGATAAGTTTATCAGGCATGATTTCAACGTTTGTTTCTTTCTTTACATGGTCCATGATACTGCTTAAGAATGTAACTTGGCAGTGTGATGGTCTGAAATATTAATTGCGAGCGCGCAAAGCGAGCGAGCAAAAATGTAATTTCTGTGAGGTCGTTGTGCAAAAAATTACATCTTAGAAAGAGGTAAAAACAATCTTTATCATGAAATACTGAAAAGGTCTTTAATAAGAAACAAAGTTTAATAGCATAAAATCCGAGCGAGCGTAGCGAGCGATCTTTGGGTGAACTTGAAGGAAAAGTTGATCTTAGTCGCTTTAAATTAGGAGCATATTTGATAGTGAAAGGAAAAGGGGGCACATATCCAAAATTAAAAGAAAAGGAGCACGTGTCAAGGTACACAGTTGGAAATGGGGCACTACTCGCACCTGATAAGGGGCACTCACCAGAAATGAAAAAAGGCAAGTATGTGGACGGGAAAGGGGCACTTATTACAAAGGAAAAGGGGGAATTATTAGAAGGAAATTAGTACTAATTTGAAAGGATAGGGAAACGTGTCAAAATAAAAGGGGCACTTTGCAGAGATGAAAAGGGACATTTATTACAAAGTTAAAGCAGCAACTCTCAAATATTAATAAGGGCACTCACCGGAGATAAAAAGAGGCACTGTAAACTGTCAAAATAAAAGGGACACCTCTCATATTTGAAATAGGGCACTAAATGAGGTGAGAAGGGGCACGTATAACAAAAGAAAAGGGCAGTTGTTAAAGTAAAATGGGCACCTCTCAGATTTGAATAGGGTCAATTATCATCATTGAAAGGGGCACTTATTAGAGGTGTTAAGATAATAATGGAGTGGGCACATGTTAGAAATTAAAAAAGTGCACTTACCTTAAGTAAAAGGCGACACCTAAGGGGTACCTGGAATAGTGGGGGCACTGTGCCTCCCTACCCCCCCCCCCCTGCGGCTCCGCCACCCCTTGCCTAGATTCTATAGCCTAAATGTGTTCCTCTCTAAAGCCCCCATCACATCAAATTAGTTCTCACTACATTCTTAACATTTTTGCCAAACGGGCCGAAACTGTGTGCGGACGGATTTGAACATAGAAGCAACTGTGTACGATCATGGACAGTCCTTGAGATCGATGTATATCCGGCTTAACATTAGGGGTGGAAGGGGGGAGGGGGTGAAGCGCCTTTTTTCTATAAAACATGGGTAAAAGAAATAGAGAGAGAGAGAGAGAGAGACCATCATTATGCAATGGTTCAGGTTTGTGTAATGTACTCTTGAAACCATTTCTTAGCGTCTCAAACCTAACAAATTAATAGCGCAACTATTTGATGAAAAGCATTTACTAACTGGATAAAGAATAGTAACTTTATATACGATACTGGCTAAAGACAATAATTATGGTATTGGAAAAGTATTGAAATGTATAATATAGGATGTTTTGTATAGAGGTATTCCAAAATGACAATCTAAAAATCAAATTGATTGTTCTGTATTTATATATAAATATGCATAATACAACTGATCTTTGTGATTTCTTAACGTGACATAGCTTCTTCTCCCCCTGCAAACAAAAAAGAAAACAAGGTTTTTTAATAAAAGGATCATGGGACAAAATGATCATTGTGATTTGTCTTTTGAATTCAAGTCGTTGCTAAGATTATTTTTAAGATATGAATGTGTTAGCAAAGAAAATAATACTAAGCTGGAAGAATTGTTGAATGTACTTTAATCTTTAACCTATGTTATGTTTCACTCAATTATTGAGTTATTAATGTACAAATGTATTATTATTATGGAAATAAAAACCTCGCTTGAGGATAAGAGAAAAAAATTCAAATTGATGCAAGGATTTTTTGAATATTAAGCAAAGCTTTTCACCATAATCTTCTTTGTAAAAACGACTTTTAAAAATCTCAGCCATGCAATTCTGCCACTGTGTTGTAAGATCACTTTCACATTAGGAGAAGTGTATTCTTTACAGAGTATTTTAAATTGAATGGAACGTCTCAACTCAGTAAGCATGGCTGAGATTTGTAAAAGTTGTTTTTACAAAGAAGATTCTGGTGAATAGCAGTGCTTCTTCAAACAAATATTCGCATCAATTTGAATCACAATCATTATTTGTCGCTTAATCCCTTTTAATGACCTTGTTTTCTTTTTCGTTTGCAAGGGGAGAAGAAGATATGTCAAAGTGTGGTACGGTATGTCACTGAAACAGCTCCCGTAGGACTTTTGTGCCAAAAGTGATTATCAAAGTGAGGGGGGGGGGGCTATGGTCAGAGAAGCACAAATATTTTGATGTCGCATTTATGTCACTGGCTGGTCAGGGGGGGGGGGTGTTAAGGTTAAATTTACGTTATTATCCTATTTTTCTACCGGTTTGGGAGGCTAGGGGGGGGGGCGGGCCGTTAGAATTGGCCCGTGGATCCGCGCCTGTACAAAAAAGCACTAAAAACAGAATAAAGAAAGAATGTAAAGTTTGCTCCGAATAGTGAGGAGGAAATAATGTGCAGAACGGGAAGAAATCGAGAGAATGTCATCACGGGATGAAAGTCAGTTATGTAGCTTGTAAATTTGTAAGAGGGAAAATGCTGATTAAAATGATAATGATGAAATAGCAAATAATTGAGGAGTATCATAGGTACCAATTCAATGGAAATTTGTATAAAAAAGAGCCCCCGTCAGTACTAAAAGAGCCCCCGTGAGAAGGCTCACGGGGCTCTTTTTCTTTTGGGGGGGGGAGAGCCCCCGTGGATAAACAAATTAATTTAAGCCCTGAGTTCGACCCCATGAATTATTTTCGAAAACAAATAAGAGAAATTCCCTGTAGATCCTGGACTTTAAAGTGTTACTTTGTGATCTCGTCAGGTACTAACTACGGAGGTCCCCCCCCCCCTTTTTTTTTAATTCTCTTTTACCGGCCTTCTACCGTCGTAATGCCGTCTTATGGACAGGACGGAGAATTTAGTCGCACGTGACGCAGTCCTCGCACAATAATCCTATCATCATTATAATTATTTTAGACCATTTCGATTTCTGAGAACGGTTACGCGAAGTCCTTTGACCCCTTTTAACGTTACTCTTATTTATAATATATGTTAACGATCTTGCCAAATATATTAAATCAAGCAGTCTAAAGTTATATGCAGACGACACAGTGATATATTCCTCCGATACCTCAGTACGCAAAATTGAGTCAACTCTGAACAGTGACCTACTTCTTTTACACCAGTGGATGAAGAAAAATGGTGGATGAAAGTGTAAATTTTGAAGAAAAAAAAATGTTTGTATGCTAATTGGTAGTCGATACATGATGTCAAAAGAAAAGAACTTAAATGTAACCCTCTGTGAGACCAAAATTCAACAAGTAGACAATGTCAAGTACTTAGGTGTCATTTTGTGATGAGCAAAATAAAAGGAACATTCACCCTGATAAGATGGTTAAAAAAATAGGACATAATGGTAAGCTTCTTAGAAGATTAAGAAGCACCTTGAACGAATCTATAATAAAACTAGTATATAATGCAGTTGTTCTTCCCCACTTCGACTACGGAGATGTTGTATATGGTTCGGCCTGTAAATATTAACTGAAAGATTACAAAAGCTCCAAAATCCAGCTGGGCGTTTGATTTTACATATCAATCGTGACTCTCATAATACCCAATTCAGAAATTCCCAATGCCCTTAACTGGGAATCGTTACACGACAGGAGAAATCAGCATTTGCTAACTTATATGTTTAAATCACTTTATGAGATGACCCCTGTTTACATTTCAGACCTGTTTAGTATCTCTGTGCACGTATACCTCTTAGGCGGAAGACTATATACGCCTATGAAGTATTATTTCAACACTCCCTTTGGCAAATGCTCTCTCCCCAAGTGTCATCGGAGCTAAAAGAGGTTATAACGAAATCAAATATCTGTTTTGCCCAAAAACAAGCAGCCCTAGAATTGATAAATTCGAAATGGAATAATTATTTACATATATATACAGAATTACAGATGGATCAAAAGCACCGGATAAAGACTCTGCTGCTGCTGTATTTCATGTACCTTATTATGATGTTTCTCAATCTAAAAGACTAGCTAATTCCACATCTTCTTATAGAGCAGAGATGGCCGCAATTGTACTTGCCCTAACATGGTTATTACAACTCCCAGGACTCTACATCGGGCAGTTATCCTTTCCGATTCTTTGAGTTCACTCCAGGCCATAGAATCTCGTAAAGACGAATCTTTTATTCTTGAAATTCTAACCATGTGTAGTCAACTAAAATGCAAGGGCACCCAGGTCAATTTCGAATGGATTCCCAGTCATTGTGGTCTACAACACAATGAGATAACAGATAAGTTTGCTAAAGCAGGACTAAATTAAAAACAAATAGAAATCAACAACGCTCTTACCAGAGCAGAATCAAACTATGTTATAAAGACATACTACATAGAGATATGGCAAAAAAGATGGAATGAAACATCATCCCCCCTACGGGAAACGCAAAGTCTGGTATCAAAAACATTTGTGTGTTACTTAAACAACAGAAGTAACGAAACTATTCTCCATCGCCTAAGAATGTGGAACTTAGGTTTAAATGTAAATCTATTTGAGTTGAATCAACATGAGACTGGTCTTTGTTCAAATTGGGAGCATGAAAAAGAAACAGTCAACCATTTCTTATGCAAGTGCCCGCTCTTTCTTATAAAGAGAGCCATGCTCATTACAGAATCTGCCATAGAAAATGAAAAAGCAATCCCAATACTCCTGAAATCCTTAGACATTAACCACCAGCAGGCTCTGGTCAACTTCGTAGTTAGAACTAAAAGGGTATTGTACCCCTACTAACCATGCACCTTGCACCGCACATATTTGAGCCCAAGAAGTTTCGCTTTTTTATAGTGAGTGATACATGAAGAAGAAGAAGAGTGAGAAGAAAAATATATATATATATATATATAGAAGAGAGAACTGTCCATATAATCGTTTAGAATCTTCATGTATATTATGTTCTTTTTCTTATTGGTTTTCGGACAAAATTTTGAAGAAACGTGGTGGAGACGACTAGACTTAATGGTGGACGTCGGAGGGCCTAGGCTCAGCATCAGGCTGAGTTGAGAAGCTTGACACAATGTACCGTGTCCGAGCTGGGCCTTGGGCGTCCTATTATAGCCGATATGCCTTTTGCTCGCCAGCCACTGAATTCTTCAACATAAACTTTAACTTTTAAAAATCCACAATACCCAAATCTATATATTGAAATTTAAAAAATCTAATTTGAATGTATAAGGGAGTTTACAGATAGCACATGGTACAAATGACCCCAAATATCCACAGATCTTTTACACATGGAGAAGTTCCACTTTGAGCATCTTAGAATAATAACTGCCAAAGTCCTCGATGTGCTTCATGAATACCTTTTGTTTGCCCTCTTGAAAAGAATACCTCCACCTGCGTATCTTAGAATGTACCGTTGGTGCATAAATGAATAATGTTACATAACTTTCATGAGCGCGTATCCAGTATTCATCTCTGTGGGTTTTACCTTTTTGGTACAAATGACCTTTATCTGCTCATGCTCAGACTGCAACCGTAAACTGGCTTATTGTATGGATATTGATCAAAGGGCAATGGCGCAATTCTGTCACTGCGCTTTAAGATCACTTTCAGATTAGGAGAAGTATAATCTTTACAAAGTATTTTAAATTGAATGGAACGTCTCAACTCGGTAAGCACGGCTGAGATTTGTAAAAGTTGTTTTTACAAAGAACATTCTAGTGAAAAGTAGTGCTTATTCAAACAAATATTTGCATCAATTTAAATGACAATCATTATTTGTCGCTTAATCCCTTTTAATGACCATGTTTTCTTTCTCGTTTGCAAGGGGAGAAGAAACTATGTCACGCTAAAGACATCAGTAAAGATCACTGTATTATGCATATTTATATATAAATACAGAACAATCCATTTTATTTTTATATTGTCATTTTGGAATACCTCTATACAAAACATCCTATATTATACATTTCAATACTTTTCCAATACCATATTGTCTTTAGCCAGTATCGTATATAAAGTTACTATTCTTTATCCAGTTCAGTAAACGCTTTTCATCAAATAGTTGCGCTATTTATTTGTTAGGGTTGAGACGCTTAGAAATGGTTTCAAGAGTACATTACACAAACCTGAACCATTGCATAATGATGGTGGTTCTCTCTCTCTCTCTCTATTTCTTTTCCCCATGTATTATAGGAAAAAAAGGCGATTCACCCCCCTCCCCCTTACCCCTAATGTTAAGCCGGATATACATCGATCTCAAGGAAAAATAATCACGATTTTTTTTTTTTTTTTTAAGGGGAAATTATCAGGCTTGAGTATATAGAGAGCGATATTGCAGGGACTTTCTGCAAAAAGCACCGGATGGATTAGAAAGGAAAATCCAAAATAACTCATACTCGTCAGGACGACGGAAAGTCAACCTGTTCGAAACGTCGAGCCCCTCCTACCACCCATCCTCTCCAACCGGCGCTATAGTTCTCGTTAGTTCTCGTTCAACTCGTATTGCATCACGTGCATAAAATATATCATACTAGGTCGAATCATTATATTCGATCCAACTTCGATCTTGTTACTGACTTACATGATTATAATACAAGAAATAGCCGATTCAACTTTAACTTACCAGAAAGAGTAGGTAGTATTGGAAATTCGTTTTATTACAATGCCATAAAACATTGGAATTCCCTTCCCAATGGTGTAAAGGAAATAGAAAACTATGCTCATTTGACATATGACATGTTATATGATTGAAATTTGTATTCTTCTGCCGGTTCATACTTTTTAATTGTTATATACTTATGTTTTCGTACGTTATAGAAATTCTACAAATTCATCATTATTTTCCTCTTCTTCCTCCGCCTCTTTTTCTTCTTCTCCTTCTTCCTTTTCTTCTTGTACTTATTATCATTTCTATCATCAGTTTAATGCTGTTATTATTATTATCTTTAATAAGTATTTCTTTTATTTTTCTTATCTGTCTGTAAATAATTGTTACTATTTTAACTTATTAATTTTATACATGTCTGTAAGGGACCCCACTGGAAATAAGCTCTCGAGCTTTCGTGGGTTATCCTGTTCAAGCTGACGTATTTTTGATCTGTTATTATTGTATATTGTTGGATGTTGGAAGCTTGTCGAAGAAAAATCAATCAATTAATCAGAACTATAAAGCTCAAGAAAGATTACCTATAGTCCTTTTCAGGACTTCCTGGGCAATCCTCCCCCTCTCTCACATGATGCAACCGTAATGCCTATATCTACATCACCATGCAAGCAGATACTTATAAGCAGCATTTAACTCATGCTCGATGATGGAGAAAAAAAAAGTTTTGGAACGCTTAACTTTTAAGTGAAAACCCCAAACTTTGTAGAATTTGCAAATTAAAATCATGCAGGGCAAGTAAATTAAACCCTATACTAGTCTAATTTGATTGGTGCTAGTCTGTTTCACTTTCACCGGTGCACGCTGCAGTGATTGTTGACCTTCCACCGTCTTATAAAGAGTTGATATCAATCGCAACTTATTTGCGATTGATATCAAGCGCAACTCAATTCAATTCAATTCAAAGTTTATTCAACACTCTCCATCAAAACATTTAAAACATACACATACAGAATGGAATGATAAAAAAAACAAGATAGTGATAACAAATAACAATGGCAATTTATGAGAGCATTTGGGATAGGCAGAAAGGAGGGATTCCTTATATCAAAGCCTACCCCTAAAACAAATATAGGAAAAACAAGAACAAAAGAACAAAACAAAAAACATACTAAACATACTATCATGTACACTAAAAAGTGTCAAGCTTGCCCATGCTATTATTACTGATTATTAATATTTTTTGACAGAGAAATTGTTTGTTTTTTAAATTATGTACATAACGGATGGGAGACTAAGCTTGCGATTGATTTGAGGAATCGTAACTCTTTATAAGACAGGGCCCAAATACTTACTCAACGTATCCACAACCAATATACAGTGCGTCCCAGAAAAAACGAAACCGAGAAGTATCGATGTTCTATCATAACTTAATCACAACTATAATTAATGAATGATACATATTTGGAAAGCTTATAGAGTTTCCTCTTTCATGTGATGCTACTCAGATAATGCATATTTCACGCATGAGTGATTAAAAGCAATTTGAAGGAAGGAAACCAAAAAGACATTTGGCGGGCGGTATCTGAATTTCGAAGAAAAATTCACATTTCTAGAAAGTTGAGTTTCTGCCCTTTGATATGACACCTCAATCAGGAAAAATGAGCGAGGAATGACAAAGTTCTGTTTGTTTAAAGTAGTGCTTGCATTTCCATACTTTTATTAAACGAATTCGTTTTCACTGGCTGCCTGCCGTATCAATAAACGAAACGGAGTTAAGTCTTTTGTCAAATCTGCTTTTTGCTACGGCAGGCACCCAATGAAAACGAATTCGTTTAATAAAAATTCGCTTTCCAAATATGTATCATTCATTAATTATGGTTGTGATTAAGTTATGATAAAACATCGATACTTCTCGGTTTCGTTTTTTCTGGGACGCACTGTATATGCAAAGTTGATTCCATCCACAGAATAGGTTAATGGAATGACTGGGGTTTGGGAGAGAAAATATGCCTTAATGGAATTTGATAAACAAGTGTATTAATACCTCCAAATTATTTAAGCCATACACTGTAGACGACATCAGCAACACATTTCAGGAAGGAAAAAAGATTATGGTTTAACAACTTACCATCTTTAGAAATGGGGATAGATCCGGCAAAATTGAAGATAGAAAGCAAAATTCTCTGGATCTCAGGTACTTATACTTCTCTTCTGGTTGACTTGTTCAAGAAGTGGCAAGAGTGGAGTGCTGACAAAGAGTCTTATTCAAAAAAGAGTGACCGCATGCTAGGAATGTTTTTGTTGTTGTTATTTTGGTTTAAACGAGTATTAGTCCGTAGTGAATATTTACGCCAAAGACAGAATCAAGGCTATAGTATTTAACGATCAGGTAGAGCGAAGCAAGTGGAGCGAAATTGGCGCGAGGTCCAGGGGCAATTAAACCCATATGGGGATCAAGGGGCAGAGCCCCATGAAGCTCCGGATTTTAAGCATTTAATTACGGTTAGATGAGCAGTCAGGTGCCCGCCTTAGGGCCCCTGGTAGGGTCCAGAGGTTTTTATGCATATTTATTTACGGTCAGATCACTCAGATGAGCATATTTTGACACCTTATTTGTGACACTGGCAGGTCACTAATTGGAGTGGGGTCCAGGGAGCGGAGGCCCCAGTAGTTCAGGGGTTTTAGGCATTTAATTATCATCAGATGCCCCTGGACCTCATCAGGGTCCGCCTAAGGGCCTAGTGAGGTCCAGGGGGCGGGGCTTAAAGCCAATCTAGAAAATCTTCTCTCTCAGATTCGGTCTATCAAATTCAGTATACACCTATCATGCCTATGAAGTAGGGATTTTCTGCGCATGCATTGTAATCTCTCGTGAAACTATAATGTTTCCAACCATGTTCACAGTTTCACTTGCGCACTGGGGGGGGGGGGGGGTAGGGTGTCAATGGTATCGAACTAAATATAAACCATGCTTTTTTTTGGGGGGGGGGTCACACTTAAATAGTCAGAAAAAATGTGCTTATTTAGAAGCCTGTAAGTCAGGGCCCGCGGATCAGCGGGGTTCGGGGGCTCGAGCCCCTCCTCTCTTTAAAAAAAGTATGTTAAAGAGAAAAAGAAAGAAAGAAAGTAAGAAAGAATAGTGACCTGTCAGTGTCACAAATGAGGTATCAAAATATGCTCATTTGACCTTAATTAAATGCCTAAAAGCCCCGAGTTTGCAGGGGCACCGCCCCCTGGACCCCACCAGGGCCCACAGGCCGGGTTTCCAAGGGCTCTGACCCCTGGAACCCGCCAAGGGCCCTTAGGTGGGCCCCTGGATGCTCATCTGACCGGTTTGTTAATTGATAAAACCTCTGAGCTTCTGGGTATCCGCCCCCTGGACTGTACGCCAATTAGTGACCTGCCAGTGTCATAAATAAGGTATCAAAATATGCTCATCTTGATGCGGTTTTTTGTTTTGCCCCCCCCCCCCCCTCACGTTTCGGCTCATTACGCCACTGCACTGTTTCACCCAAATCAGGCAAAAATTGCTTTTTACATTTCATTTGCAAAACAACGTTGCTCGGTGAAGCGTGTTTTAATTCCATTAATGTATCGTTAAATTTTGGAGGCATATTACTTATACTTCATGGAAATCCTTTTTTTTTATACAGCACATAATATAGTCTGTTCATAATATCAGTTTGTTTGGGGTGTTTTTTCTGGGACGCACTAAATATCAGCTTCCAGCATGACCCGCTATTTTAAGTACCCCCCCCCCCCCCCTTCTCTTCCTTTCTCTCCCCCCCCCCCCCCTTCTCTCTCATATATGTATATACACATTTACAGATTTAGGAAAATACCAACCTTTTAAACAAAGTAGATTAAACCGAGTATCAACAGGTTGGCTTTCCCTTTGTTAGCGCAATATCTAGAAATAAAACTTATCGACTTTACAAAATGAGAATTATATTTTTATCACAAGAGATGGTAATGAGAGTTACAACATTCTAAACGGACACTTTTAGAAAGAAATTGGTTAACTGTTCAGCAAAGAAATTATACACTGGTATTCATTAGTGCTTTATGAATATTAATTTGATCACAAAAAGACTAGCACTGGTGGGTTTTTTAATAAATGCTAATAGTTGTCATTATTGTTCTATTCCCTTTCATTATTTCTCTATAAAGAAAGACCTGTTTTTTAGTGCAAAACACGTTACGATAAAAACTTAAGAAAAGGGCACGAGAAAATCAATTTCCTTAGAAAGAAATGGGAAATTCATGAAATGAAATATCAAACTCAGTTGTGTTCGTACCTATAGTCATTATCATGGTTATCATTACTATTATCACTGATTATTAATACTATTAAACTTACAAGGTTTGCGCTGGTAAAGCGCTAGATGCCGTCCTAGTATTCAAGATTATAATTCATGCCTGTCGCCATAATTATTATTATCATCATTCTTTACTATTATCATTTTTATTTCTATCATTATTATTATTATTATTATGTTATTGTTATGATTATTACTATTATTATTATCATTATTACACATATTCAAAAGAAAATAAACTGCAAAAAGAACGAAAGAATAGGTATATTAATGTCACCCTAACTGTTCCATTTTCTTTTTGTAAGGAAAAGGGGTAAGTTGTAGTAAGTGACAATTTAACCATAGTAAAGGGAGCTACATGATGCGCGCGCATATCATTGCCTATCGGTCCGCGCCAATAAACCTCAACCCGAGCAAGATGTGAGTCTATTTATCCTCTCAATATTCCACTTATTATTTTATCCACAATCTACAGTTAGGCCATGCCTCATAACACAACAGTTTTCATTATCAACATCCAATCCAATCCAATCCAATCCAGGAATTTATAAACATCATTATTAAAATAACCATTAGATATTCATAATTGGGCCAATCTACCAAAATGGAAAAAGAGATGAAGATAAAATAAAAAAATAAAAGATACATGCACATCTTATTATTTAGTTACAACTCGCCTTCGTGTAATAAGAGTTTACCCCCCCCCCCCCCCCCCCTTCTCACATCCCATAGGTTGTATAAGCCAAGTACATCTCAGTTATACCATGGGTTATACCGTGACATCAATATGTATATGGTATAATTCCCTATCATCATTATATTGCGGGCGAGCACAAGGGCATGGCAGGCAATGATACAAAACGAATTAATTCCAGCCAATTATAATAAACCTTTCCCTGTATATTGAATAGCCGTGTCTGGCCTAAGCACACCAACGCTCATTTGTGTACATGCACCAAAAAACACATAGTAAAATAGCACTCTCAGAAAACGCATACATCGCATTAATTCCTCACAGGAACTAATTCTCATAGAATTGATATTTATAATTAATGTCCGATTTTGGTTATGATGGTATTCATATACGATAATTATATATCACCATCACCATCATCATGTTCACCACCACATACACATCATCCATAACTACTACGACCATCAAGCACCATTACCAACATCACCACTACCACCACCACCACCACCACCACCACCAGGGGCGGATCCAATCGACGGCGAGGGGGGAGGGGGGGGGGGGGGGCAATTCGTGAGAAAATATTAAGCGGACAGAGGATAGTCTGAGGGGAACGGTGCCCTCCTCCCTCTTGAAGCTGAAGAAATGTTCAAACCCAATACGTGTGATTTGGTGTATCCTTTTTGCCAGGATATCATTTATTTCTGTGATTTTTTTCCAGCATAAATTCATGATAACCTTGGATTTTGTAGGAAATTCTCCTTGGGAAAGTACTGTAAATAAACGAAGCGGGACTATGGGTGCTGTCAGGGGCGGCCAAGTGACTTCCAAAGTGGGGGGGGGGGGGGTGGCACCAACAAAATGGGCACTTTCTGGAGAAAAAAGGTCACCCTCAAAGGGAAATCTCAAAGCTTTATTCATCATACCAGATATTGCTTAGGCATCATACATTGCAGTTGTGTGTGATGGTCTGACTATTCATTTGCGAGCGAGCGGAACTACCTAGTAACAATTTGAGATTCATGAGGTCGCAGTGCGTAAAATTACATCTTATACAGAGGGAAATTACCAATCCTGCTGGGGTTATAAGCACATTCTCATAACGGAAACTGAAAAAACCTTTGATAATATTTTGGGTGAAATTCTCTTAATCGATTTGAATTAGGGGTATTTTATTTGATGAGAGGAAAAGGGGATTATCGAAAGGGATAAGAGACTTTTTAGAAATGAAGACGAGCTCGTACAAAAGGTAATTATCAGAGGTGAAATGGGGCACTTCTTACACCCGAAAAGAGGCACTCGCCAGGGATGAAAAGGGGACACTTCTGTGAATGAGAAGTGGGCATTTATAAGAGGTGTAAAGGGGCATTTACGAAAAAGTGATATGTCCCTTATTATAAAAGAAAAGGGGCGCGTATTATTATAATAATAATATTTCCCATGAGGTGCGACAAGTGCACCTAAAATGGGAAACTGACCAGAAATGGAAAGGGGGAACTCATAATAAAAGAAAATATGCATTTGTTGAAAGAAAGGGGCACCGATCAGATTGTAATGGGAGCATTTATCGGAGGTGTAGGGGCGTTTTATGACAAGGGGAATTGGCTATTATCAACAATAAAAAGAGGTACATGACTTGTGAAAGTAACGGGTCAGTTATTAGAGATAACAAAGGGTAGTTATGAGAAGGGGAGAGTTCATTATAGAAGGATATAGAGCATTTATTAGAAAGGAAAAGGGGCAGTTATTAGAGGTGAAAAGGGGCACTCATCAGAGATTAAAAGAGCCCTTATCAGGAAGGGAAGGGGCTCAAAGTAAACAAGCATCTCTCAGATTTGAATAAGGGCAATTATCGGAGGTGAAGGAGGCACTTATCTGAAGTGGAAAGGAGTAACTTCTCGTACCTGAAAGAGGTCATTTACCATCGATGAAAAGGGCACTTATGAGAACTTGAAAAGGGACACTTATTAGAAAGGAAAAAGGGCACATCTGAAAATAAAAGGTGCGCCTATCTGAGTTGAAAAGGAATAGTTATTAAAAGGGGAATGGGGCACTTCTTACAAAGGAAAAGGAGCAAATTGTCGAAGTAAAAGAGGCAGCTCTCAGATTTGAAAAGGCAATTATCAGAGGAGAAGGGGGAATTAAAAGTGAAAAAGAGAACTTCTCGTACCTGAACAGAGGCATTTACTAGAGATCAGAAAGGGCACTGACGAGAATTAAAATGGACATGTATTGCAAAAGACTTGGGAACTTTTCGAAGGAAAGGGGCACGTTTAAAAAAAAAGGAGACTTGTCAGAGGTGAAAAGAGAAAGGGGCTTATTTACAAAGCAATAGG